TATATATTATATGTGTGTGTGTGTGTGTGTGTGTGTGTGTGTGATTTTTTAATCCGTTGACGGAAACTATTAAAAGTCATATTACACGTAAAGTGTGTGTAGTTAACTAGTCCTCTTTTCAAATACAAACATTACTCCAAATCGTTTGTCCTTAGCCAGTCTTTTTTTTTTTGTCTTTTCCTATTTATACAGTAAATATATCAGAAGTGCCGGATCAAGAGTCTGTATAATTCTTACCGTCCAGACTTCGTAATAACCATTTCGGTGCCAAGTTTATGAAACTGGTCCCAAAGATCCTTGGCTTCCAAGGTAACTTTGGGATCATCGTCCACTTCCTCTTCTGGCTCCAAGGTTTTTAGACTGCGGAGTTGAGCAGCCTGGTGGTGGCTCAGCGCCGGGTGGAGTCCCGTTTCCGTCCCAGCCAAACCGTGTTCCGAGATAGACTTGGAGAGTGCCCCGGGGGGAAGGCTGAGCGCTGGAAAGAAAGAGGGCTGTGCGGCCGCTAAAAAAGCGGACATGGGGAAGTCGGTCGGCCGGTGAGCGTGGAAAGGGTGATAAGCCATTTCAGTCCCCGTAAAAGCTGGATCTCTCATCGGTGCATCAAAAAAATACTACATGAAAAATGGTTCTTCAAGCGCGATCTATTATACCTCGATCAGTTTCAGTACACTGGCCTTGTCAGTTACACTGCATATTGCACAGACATCCCGGAGTTTCTCTCCTCGATTTCTTTTCAGTCTCTCTCTTTCTCGTCCTTTACTCTGATCCGCGGAGCGCAGCCAGATCCCGGTTGCGCGGTCCCCCTTTGGAAGAAGTGAACCGTTCCTTCGCTTCAGTCATCCCACACTGTCAGGAGAGACGTGTCCCCGCTCGCTGCGGGGCTGTGACTATCTCACATATCTTTCCTGCCTCAACCCTCATTCTAATGAACCAAGCCCCTTTGATTGCTGATTTTACGCTTTCTGGACCAATTGTGGGCCTCTGCAGGCGTGGCTCTGACGGCTCTGGTCAGACTCTATAAGAGTAGGGACAAGGAGGTGTCGGACGCATTAGCAGTGAGAAAACATGTCAACAGAATAAAATATTAACCAATGGCAGGAAAGATCGGGGAATCCCACCCCCATCTCGGAGCCTAACCGGGTCAGTACTCAGCTGTTGGGCGATCGAGGCGTCACCTCACTCGACTTTCGTCCCGTTCTTTGTCACCAGCGGAGCAAGCAGTCTTTCGGTGTTTAATAATTGCTTTTACAAAACCTGACAACTAATGTGGATACACTGGTGATTAGTTAAAGGTGTACCCCGCTTTTCGCCTAAATTTAGTTGATCGGCTCCTGCTCACCCGCGAGTCGTCTTATCCTATCTGAGGAAAAAGCAAAATGTGCAAAAATGGATATACTATGAGTTTTGACGTCTGTTGAGAATGCAGGGGTATTTCGTTCCCCTCTCTTGTGATAACGACGATTCCCCCCGCCTTTTGAGGTTGGCTTCAGCATCCAGATTTACCCGTGCACTGAACATTGCGTGATTGTGATCGAACGAGGAAGAGGCAGCAGCTGTGGCAGCGGAAGCGGCAGCAGCGGCCGCAACCAGTAGCAACATTTTACGATTGAGACTGTAAACTACAAATCCAGATGCCGCGTTCGGTGAGATAAAGAACGAAGCCAGCGAATAAATAACAATTGGCTTACTTAAAGAACACATCGGAGAACTGTGAGTTGACTGCTGGATAGTGTGCAAAGTCAAATTCTTAGGTTTATAAAGATCCGCCTGCAAACACTGCTGTATTATTTAATCTGATTTGTTTTAATGTATTTACGGGGCATGGAATCTCAGTGCAAGTAACTGCCTGTTACAAAAAAGGCTCTTCAAAGTAGGTCGCTCACATTGCTTTTGAGGCGCCAGTCAGCTCGCAGTTCGAACAATTGCTTGTCTCTTCCTATTTAGCCCGGGGTTCTGCGTGTTTGCAACGCCATGCAAACATCAACAGCTACATCTGCGGCTCCGTATCTCTTCCATCGGCCATCGCTTAGTTTTGAAACATTTACTGATTATTTTAAATGACACTCGACGTCAAAGCGTTTACTGTTCTATTAATCAGATATCATGAAACACGTTAAACCTGATCAGCCATAAATATTGTAATACGGCCATTATAGGGTGACAACCCTTGTGGGTTGTTTCTAATTAAAATACAACGCAGGCTCGACGTGAGACGACCAAAAATGCGAATGGCACGATCTCCAGAAGAATTAGGAGCAGACTAAAACATTTGATAATGTCATTTGCACTACACTTGTTGCACTACATCCAACGACCCCCCCACCCAGAAAACACACGCACGCACGCACGCACGCACGCACGCACGCACACACACACACACACACACACAC